ACACACACACACACACACACACACACACACGATCAATTCCAAATGATTGTTTAGTCTTAGTTTCTCTTAATGAAAGCAGCATTTTGGTTTAGGTTTTTGTTAAATAATTACATGGTGTAAGGACCATGTTATTTTTACTATGTCCTGAGATGCCAAATCTTAACTGAAAGACTGTGTGCTTTCTATTCAAACAAAATGTGAATGTGATTGAACACATGTTATAAGTCTACATAACGAAAAATGAAAATCTAAAACATTTAATCATTCATGTTTGTGCACTTGACCCTCTCCTCTGTGATCACTCCAACAAATATTCCACTTGTGATAATACAAAAAGTGATAAAGTGCACACAAACATGCACAAATGGATTCATAGACACCGATGGAAGGACAGATAAATATGAGCATGAACACACAAACACCACTAGATTCAATCCAATCTCCTGAGCTCCTGGCCTTGGTTAGCATATTCTAATGGCCCGAGTACACAAGGAAACACAAGGAACTCAAAGAAAGAGATGAAGCAATGGAGGAATTTGGGGGTTGCAGTGAGATGGGAACAGAGGGCAAGCGAGAGGCACAGGCAGACTGAATTTTAAGGAAGGGGGGGATTCTACTGGAGACACAGAGACAGTGAGAGGGAGGGTGCTTGCTTTAGGAAATGGAAGTCCTTTACAATCTAGTGGTTTCCTCTCCCTTCCTCTATCCTGTGCAGCATACACTCTCCCTCCCTCCCTCAGAGATCCCGCTAACAACAAAACTGCCAGTGTATTTAACACAGAGCTCCCAACAAAGCATAGGACTCTACAAACATAATACTTTTATTTCAGAGAATAAAGTAAAACTTTTATTTTCTTTGTTTACTTAATTAAACAGTAATTCTAAAAACAGTGCATCTCATTTCATGGCATCAAACAATATATTTACATTGCCCTGAAAACGAAACATCAATTTTTCAGGGATAAAGACCAAGAAAAACATCACAGAAACTGAGATCACATGGTTCCCGCATGACAGCAAAAGTATGCAAACCAATCGAACTGTGCGTCTCCTCGGACTGCAGGGGAAGATGGCTTTATTTATGTACCTGTCTCTTTGACTACATTTTTCATGCTTTCTGGCTCTCTGCATAGTCTTCCTGAAAAGAAAAGGCTGTCTGCTAAATCATCAGTTTCAAAGGGTCTCCTTCCTTTTCTGTCAGCCCCAGTTTATTTTTACCCCGTCCCTCCACCTCTCTGGGCCTCCACCCATCCATCCCTCCCTTTCCAAGAGAGCTCTCTGTGCCAATTTGTACTCTCTTAGTCACGCTAAGCACTTATCTTGTCCCTACTGAATGCCTTTGCAATCAAACCAACACTTATCCGGTTGTAAGGCACTCTAATGGCCGACTGATAATGAAACTCCTTCATTGTGAGTTAACAACTGGCTAAAAGATGTATGAAGTCTACATCACAAGCAGCGAAATTGCTGATGAGAGCCACAGCCTGTAATCGCCTATGCTGCTGCAGCTAGTGTATTATGGTAGACTGTGCATTAAATATTGTGCATCAGTCCATAGCTTGTTGTACAGCGATTGCATTCTGAAAAAAGTTTCTCTCATGTTTAGTTTCCCTAGTCATGTCTGCAATATAACTAGGACAGGGTGGCAAGTTTTCAAATGTAATTTTTATTTATTTATTTATTTATTTTTTACAAGGAACAAAGACACCAGCTTCGTGTATGCTCTTACCTCCCATGCTGACTATTACAGGCAACGAGCTGCGTGAACTTTTCTCTGGATTGATTAGTCAACAGTGCCAAACAAAATGTGAGTGAATGTGATTAAAACAAGCTGTCAATTTGTCTTCTTTGGTCTGAAGCCATTAACTGACGTTGCAAAAAATCTGACAGCTTGCAGACTGTTAAGTCACAGTCTGACTTTTATTCATATTAGAATAAAATTTCATTCACTAAACTTTTTATCTGACTTGAAATTGAACCCAGAAGAGAAATAAAAGTCTGTGCAGTTACAAATTCTGGACTCTAAATATAAAACCCACATAGTAATAGGGTCCAACCTCAGCCACTTCATTAGGTACACCTTATTAGTAGTGGGAAGGCCAGTTTGCCTTTATAAATGCATCCATTCTTCACTGGGACAGATTCAACAATGTGCTGGAAATATTCTACAGAGATGTGATAGCCCCACACAGTTGCTGCAGATTGGTTGGCTGCACATCCATGATACAAATCTCCCACTCCATCACATCCCAAAGCTGCTCTATTGGATTGAGATCTGGTGACTGTGGAGGCCATTTGAGCACAATGAAGTCATTGCCATCTTCAAGAAACCAGTTTGAGATGATTTGAGCTTTGTGACATATCACATTACCCAGCGGGAAGCATCCATCAGCAGATGGGTATATTGTGATCATAAAGGAATGGGGCATAGTCAGCAACAATACTCCGGTAGACTGTGGCACTGAAATGACTGTCACTTGGTACTAAGGTGCCCAACGTGTGCCAAGAAGATATCTTCAACTCCATCACACCACCAACAACTAATCTGAACGGTTGATATGAGGCAGAATGGATCCATGCTTTCATGTTGTTTATGCCAAATTCTGACCACATCCCCTAAATGTCAAAGCAGAAATCGAGAGTATTCAGACCAGGGAACATCTTTCCAATCTTCTATTTGTTTAAAATGTAACCCGAGTTTCTGTTCTTTCCTGACAGGAGTGGTGCATACCCATATGGAAAAGATATATATAAATCTTATAAAGTTTTTATCTGTCTTGTATGAAACTTGTATGAAAAGCATACAAGAGTCAAAACACATAAAATCCCTTGAAAAATCATATAATGAAACTTGTATGTTTTGTATACTTACTAAAAAATATATATGAAAGTAATGAGAAAGTGGCCACTTTCATGAGTAAATCATGTAAGGCTTATATGATTTATACATGAGTAAATCATATATGTTTTTACTATTTCTTTTCCATATGGGTAGTGTGGTCTTCTTGCACATCTGCTTTAACATTCAATGTGTTGTTTTAGGTTTAGGCTGCCTGTCTATTAGCTCAATATCTGGCTATTTTCTCTCTTTTAGACTGCTTGCTAGAAACCTTAAAGACAACTGAATGGAAATTCCTAGAAAACCTGTCTGAACAACAACACGACACTTAAATCACATTTCTCCCTTTTCTTCGTAAAGCATCTTTGGGTCCAATTTCAGCAGATTGTTTTGACCACGTCTACATGCATAAATGCATAGAGGTGCTGCCATGTGATTGACCGATTGGATACGAGTTGATTAGCAGATGCACAGGTATATTTAATGAAGTGCCAATGAGTCAAAATTGACACCATGTGGCATTAATCTTAGTCTTTTATTTTATTTATTGCAAAGAAAAGTCAATACATAACTGTTCATTTAATCATTTTTTATCTTCCCATGTGGTTGTTCAAAACCCAAGTCACAAACATATTGTATTAGCTGAAACAGCTTTTCCACAATGTTTTTATAATAGGTGTAAATCTATATTGTGGACTACTTTCTACCATGGATTGATACATAGCCGATGTATTTGAGCACCAGATGTGCACAGGTTGGAAACAGAGTGTCAGCATCCATTAGAGAGATCTCACCCAATATCGTGGCTCACTGACGTGCTCCTAACAGCATTTTTATACAAAAGTACAGCACTGGTAAACACTAATAAGCTTTAGACTTTCAAATAAACTGTGTTTGCCTGGGATTGGTGAACAATGAAACCATATCATCACCCATATCCAGGAAATATAATTGAAAGCAGAAATTACGTTCGTTTTCCATTTAATTTGTAAGCACTCGTGCAGTACGATCAAAAATGATAACTTTTCCATACTATAAAGAAGCATGAACACGAAGACATAATTGGCAGACATCACAATTATGAACTGCAGGCCATACTGAAACAGGTTTTGAAAAACTCATTTCACAAAACACCAATGACAAAAATTAATGAGCCGAGAAAGAATAACTGATAACTATCACTGGACTTATAGAATTTTCTTCCCTTCCTTTGGCTGTGCTGTAAAGCAGTCAGGAAAGGCATTTTAATATGCGCTCAAGACTCCCAAGCCATATTTGATTATGTGATGGTGAAGCAGGTAGCAGCAAGATGAAGTTTAAGATTTACATAACTAGCCAATTAGAAAGATTCAAGATAATGAGCGAAGTAAAAGACTTTCCAGAGGAGCCTTACTGAGATTTGGTTTTCCCATTATTATGTTAAGACAAGCAGGAGTGGAATCAAAATATTTTATCCTAAGTAATCAGCACAGATGAAGACTTAAAATTCACATTAACATTTCTCCTATCAGAACCAATCAGTCTGGGTTTTCCTTCACTCACACCGTCCAACCTGAAACTGTGATTACAGGACCTTTGTGCTGTTGTCCTAAACCGTGTCAGGATACCTTTGAGTACAGCTCTGACAGATGAGCAGCAATCATTCTGAACGCACGCTCTTGTGTGCCTCTTCAAAAGCAGACGACTACAATCATATTGATTAGTGCTTTGTTCAGACCACTCTAACAATCAAGCAGACCCTCATCAGAGGACACTTGAGTGAGCCCCGTTTACCGCAGAGACGATTTGAAACATATTGTGTCTATTGTCTGGTGTTCTCCATCCTGATTTTGCATACGACAACAATACCAACAGCTTGCTTTCAAAATGCACTCAACTCTGAGTATCATTAGAGAGCAATCCTGAAATCATCATCACGGTGAAGTTAAGCAAAATAGAGATTCTCTAGAAGTGCATCATTACGATAGATTAAAGGATAACATGGCCTTTATAGTCAGCGGCCGTGTGTTCTCCAACACATGGACTTACACTGTCGGTGTTTAAGTAAAGGAAATGGTCTCTATAAATAAAAAGACTTAAATATCAAATCAAGATCTGAGGTTGTGAAGTACAGTGCAGATACTGCATCCTTGCAGAAACAAGTAGAATGAAACTCACTCACCTTTGCACTGATTGGTGTTTTTGTCCAAGATGGCCTTTGTAGAGACAATTTTCCCATATCTGCAAAACAAAAACAACAACAATGTAACATTCTGATTTGCTGCTGGCCCATTTTTAACATCTGGATCAATATTAGTTATTTGAGTCTTGGGTAAATATTTAGCTGTGCTGCAGGCAGAGCTGCAGGGTTATAATTCTGGTCTATCGTTGAGTCACAAGTTTGGTCCAGTCAAAGGAAACAACGCAGTGATGGACTACCACAAAATATGCACACGAAATGGTCACCACAGGATGACTTGCGTCAGAATTATTAACAAGATAGACACACAACCTCCATCCAGCAGATGGAGGAACAAAAAGTCCGTCCCTCCGTCGGCTCCCTCTACCAACTTTTAATGTCTCCTGTCCGATTCACCACCTTACTCTCTTATGTTTGACACCTCTGCCTCTCTCTTTGTCTACTTCCTTATTTTCCCCCCCACATCCCACTTCTATTCTCGAGCTTTCTGTTCTTGGGTTCTCAGAAAGAAGTTAATAATGTTTCTTATCAGACCAGTCTTTTAGTGCTCAAGGAAAGAGGAGAAAGAAACAGACAAAACCCAGAAAGAGGCTGAGAAGGTATGAAGAGAGAGGATAACAGAGACAGAAAGGAAGGTAGAGTCAGAAAAAGACGAAGACAGAAAGCTTGAATTGTTGAGATCAGCCTGGATCACTGCCTGGCTTTGTGGATGAGACTTTTAATTAATGTTTTCACACTGGTGCACAATGACTGACTGGCTGCTGAGTGACTATCAAACAGATTGACACTCTGCCCGACAAGCTCGCTGACTGGCTAGCAGACTGGCTGATAGCCCCAGGTAAAGGATGGAAGTATATTCCCTCTTCTGTTTGAGAGATGGGAAGAAAAAAAAAAAAAAAAAAAAGGGAAACAATGAAGGTAGAAGCAAAAACAACTCAATGAGAAAACAATGCAGAAGCTTCCTACTAGCAAAGGAGGTGAGAAAAGCAGCGGAAGGGTTGGAGAGACTAAGGAATGTGAAATAGACAAGGAGAGGGAGAGCAGTCAGTCAAAAGATAAAAAGATACTCAAGGCGAGCAGGAAGTGAGATAGTCCGGGGGAGATGGAGACATAGTAAGAGGTGTTTAATAAAGAAGAGATCATTTAGTTGTCAGCATCAGGAGAGTCTCTGTCAGCCAACTCTGTCATTAAGAAGAAGAGAACCGAGTCTAGCTCGCCTGACAGCCTCATATCAAACTCTATTGGGACAGGAAAAAAGGCTTTAAAGGACTGCTATCACACCTAACATGACAGATGAGCAGCGTATGATCTCGCAATTGGCAGAGAGAAAAATCACTGGTTTTGTCAAAAATCAAACATTTGAACAACACTCAGTTTTCACACATTTTCATTCCTGCAATTTAAATCTATATCTGAATGGTATTTACAAACCCGCTGATTGTGATGGGCTGAAATCAAATCTGTTTGGCTGATACTATTTCTTTCCCAAAAGTCATAGCTGGTGGTAAATAAGGTCTTTGGCCTGCGGCTGGTGGAGCCAGCCAACGGCTGCAGACGTGGAAAACACTCTGAAGAAAACAAGGCTAATCGCCCACACGTATACGCAACGGCACAGATCAAAAAGAAAAGAAAAAACCTACACCAAAGCAGTAATCACACACACACTACACACACCATCTGGCAATAGCAAGACCAACTCTCAGTGACTTCTACATCAGCATGACTCAAGTGCATGTGACCGAACACTTGAGCATGCAAATACTTGTGTAGGTGTAATTACGTGTGTGACAGAGTATGTTTGTGGAAGTTTGAATCCATGTCAAAGATCTCATACATCATCCACGTGTTTTGCCAACTTGTTTTTCCCAGCAGAAGACTGAAACATATCCAGACTCTGGACAGCGGGGGTGTGGGGGGATGGGGGTGCCTGGGTAGTTACACTATGAATCTTGAAGAGGAAAAAAAAAATAAAAAAAAAATATGGTCGCACTGGTCTAATTTCAAAAAGAGGAAAACAAAAACATGTTTCCATGTTTGGGTACATTATTGTCAGACTGTGTCCACCTGTTCCCTCTGTAGTTACGCAGGTTAGCGAGAGGAGAGGAGAAGAGAGAGGATGACGCCATGGCCTTGGGGAAATGTCCTATTACAACATCCAAATTTGTGATTTAATGGCAACATTTCATTTTATCCAGACAGCTACAACAATCTACTATTGTGCAGAAGAAATGGAAAAAAGTATTGATAACAGATCAGATGGTTAAGTGAGGAAATTTTAGATCATGGAATAAGAGGAAAGTGCAGAATGTCCTCTTCAAGTCCCAACTGGAACATTTTGGTTGATTCCAACAAACCTGGAGTCAAATAACATCGACCTACACTTCAATCAATAGCAATGACACGTAAGAGACCCATAAAAACTACTGAAATACTTAAAACATACCAATAATAGACTACAAGGAGCCAGAAAGGAAAGGTCAGCACTTCCTTATCAATTACTTTCCATTGTGCCTAAAAAATAGAGAAATTTGTTCTGAAAAATATCTGGGGATGTAATTTTACTTCTAATTTAAAGTAATTCTCCAGGAAGCCAAAAAAAAAAAAGTGGTATAACCTACGGCTACATGTGTAACTTTCATTAAAAGAAATTAGATTATTTTCTCCATCTCCTAAGCACCAAATGGAGGGTTACACCTATTATTTTTATTGTCAATTATTCTGTTCTTTCTGTATTTTAACTGTATTTTAAAGTAAATTTGTATTGACAGGTTACAGGCTAGAAGTTTGAGTTAAATCCCTGAAAAGTCACGGTGAGCCAAAAGAAAAAACATACCCTTATTAATTCTAAGGTTTCAGACAACCCTCAGATGAACACCACCACAAGGCTTATTACACAGAGTCCTTTAACAAAATACTTTGGAAAGAGAAACAAAATACATTTTCTGTATGACTGTTTCAGTCTCTTCAGTTCATTGAGGTCTGTGGACATTTGTTTATGCACAGCTCTCTTTTTTCAGTCAGGATGAGGTCTGGACTGACTGGGCTATTGCAACATCTTAATTTTTTTCTTTGTTAACTGTTCTATTGTACATTTCCTACTGTGCACAGGATCATTGCCCTGTTGCATGAACTAATTTGGGCCAAGCTTTTGCTGTTAGAAAGACGGCTTCAGATTTCACCCTAGAATACTTTGGTATACAGAGGACTCGATGGTTGACTCAGTGACTGCAAGATGCCCAGGTCCTGTGGCTGCAGAACAAGTCCAAATCATCACCCCTTCT